CATACAAATGGTACCAATTCCAATGGTTGTTTGTAACATGGGAACCTTCTTATGACCTGCCATAGCCTTCCCCCCATTTTTCCCCATTCCACCCACCAATAAGGACTGACCCTTGTGTGATCTGTCTGCCCCATTATAATTGAATTCTCCCTGCCATTTCATTCAGGGTCACTGTGGCTGCATTCAGGACCGCTGCTATTATCTTCAGAGACTGCAAGTGTCAGCATGCCCTTGTATCCAGTGACACTGTTCTGAGTTCCCCAAGGGAGGTAGTAATCTTCATGAGAGTGGTGAGAGGCATATGGCCACCATCATTGTGATGTTCCTGCTTAAAGGGACAGTACAGCACCCTGTTTAGCTTCCCCAGGGATTTGTCCTTATATTCTGTATGCTCAGGTTACCCTTAATCCTCACATTCTGTTGCTGACTTCCCTTTTTAATCTGTTTAGTTGAGTTAGGGTGTTGGGGATGAGAATACTGTTTGGGGATGTTATGATTGTTCTGTATTATTGTGACTTATTATCCTTACTTATACTTGCCCCGTTTTATCAGATTGATGCTTTATTACACATTACATATTTGCCTTTACCCAAACTCCCTGGTTCCTCACCCTCTCACATCCCTTTTTGGCCCCCCCTCCTTTGCTTTTCTTGCCTTCCACAATTCTGCAATTCCCTCATCCTTCAGGTACCTTTTTCTTCCTGCACATTGCATTTGTGATCTTTTAGGGGAAAGAGATGACTTAGCAAGTGGCACTTGTCAAATTGTTCCAGCACATGCACGATCTTTGTATTGCACTTGCGCTTAGGCTCCAGAACTGCACCCACAAATCACTGTGCATGTGCAGTGAAAAATGGCATTTTAGAGCCTTACATATCTCTGGCAACTCAAAAGATCTGGGTGCCTGGATACATATGTAGCACCTTCCTCTACTTAGGCTATTAGGTAAATATAGTGTTTGGTTCCATTGCAGTGAATGCAACAGTGATTGATTGTGTTGGTCTGCTCAGGGTTCCTTGAGCTGAGATTTTGATTACTTCACACAGCCCTATATGATCACATAGGGCTGGGAGATTCAAATCATCAGCTGAATATTTATCATGCCCCAGCCAATCAGTGGAAGGAAGCATCCAGAATGTGTATGGAGAGATAACAGAATGTTCTTTCCCTCAATGGAGGGTTTTAGGTTCCCTTTAGGCTGCTGGCCATGGATGCAGCTCCGCTAAGGTGAGAAACTGCAGTGTGGGCCTCAGCAGATGCTGGAGGCCTGGATAAGATTGTCTGAGGATTGCTTTTGCTGGAGAGCACTGAACTGAAGTCCTGGGTCTGGAGAAGTTTTTTTCTTACCTCCATCACTAAGGATCCTGCAAAAATACGCACTGCCCTTGTGATCTGCAGTGGATGTCAGTGCAACGTTAACAACACTCCAAACGCAGTGTGTTTGCCTGCATTGGATCGCATGTTACAAAACTACTATGCGATCTGCTTGCAGTGTGGTTCCCCAAGTAGTGCATAGGCTCAAATTGCAGCACATTGAATTGCATGAATGGGTTCAAATTGCATTGCACTGAATGCATGAATGGGCTCAAATTGTGCCGCACTGGATCGCATTGAAATGTGGTGCGCATTCCTGTGCAATTCACAGGCAATTCATACTGTGAACTTAGGCTAAGTGCTACACATATAAAAATATAGCCAAGTATGCTAACAAATTAAAGTCTTCCCCCTCCTTCTCTCCAAAAAGATGTGTAATACATTAGGTTAGACTACAAAAACTAAATGGTATAATGTGCAGAACTGATACATTGCCAAAATGGGAAAAAAAAAAACACTCTGGGACTTAGAGGAGGATTTAGAAATTGTCCTGGGGAAATGTTTACACGTGTTAATGTGTTATACATGTATAGTTATCTTTTAAGCCTTCAGTCTGCCTCAATGAACTAATAATAAAGTTAATCAATTGTTTACAGCCATGGAAGCTGCATATCACAGGAAAATGTGATATGGATTCTCATTGTTCTCATTAGCAGAAAAATACACATATTCCAGGGATCAAAGTATAGAGGAGATGAGAAGAGCTGTGTCAAGCTGCCAACATCTCTGTCCTGATATAAGATAAAAGCGTCAACTGCAAAATTAGTGGAAAGCTGCTGCTATGGCTTTTCAGTCTCTTGAAATACTAAGAAACCTAAAAAGAAAGGTATGCAGTAATTGAAAAATACTTTCTCCAACGTTAGTCTGGTTCATCAGAGGGGTGAGCATACTATTTTTGCAGACTGTGCAGCTGCCTAAGACTCCTGGGACTTATGGGACAGTTTATGATAGATGTAGATGATTGTTTGGACCCCCTTCCACTCTCCCAATATATCTTCATGGTGCCTTAAAGTTGTTGTAAAGGCAGAAGGTTTTTTTTTTTACCTTAATGCATTCTCTGGTAAAAAAACCTTGTGCATGCAGTCCCCCCCCAGCCCCCCTTATACCTACCAGAGCCAAATCTCGATCCAACGATATGCATTAGAGAAGCGGTTCTCTGAGCCCTCTCTCCTCATTGGCTCAGAGACATCAGAAATGGCTCCTGCTGCTATCAATCGCAGCCAGTTAGGAGAGAGCGGAGAGTCAGTCTGATCTGCACACAGAGCCAGCTTGGGAGCAAGCACCCACAAATACCCCTACAGCAAGCAGGGGGAAGGGACTCAGTAAGAGGAGAATCAGGGCTGCTCTGTGCAAAACCATTGCAAAGAACAGGTCAGTATAACATGTTTGTTACTTTTAAAAAAATAAAAGGTTTGCTTTTTAACTATGCTTCTGGTTTGTAACATCCGAGTGCTGTCAGTTCCTGTCTGACCTGCACTGGATGACTTTTTTTACGCTCTTTTGGTTTTGGACTCCGGAAAGCAGCAGTGTTCAATGCACATTTGCACAGTACATCATTTTGCTTTATACATTTGCATTTCTTTTTTTCTTTCAAAAGCAGCATTATGGCTGTAGTATGGGCATACCTCTGCTTTTTTAAATGTTCCTCTAAGTTTCCAAAAGTACTGGTAATAAAATAAAATACATGTTTTCTCTTTTTTTCAACCTTTGTTGCATCTTAGCCCTGCTGATCTGCGTTCTCACACTTTGCCTCGCACACGCACTTCAGCAATGGCTAGCGTGTGTTTCCTTATGGTTTCCATGGTATGATTCGGAATATGTGCATTTAAGTAGCCACTAGACTTCATTGGAAACCTGTGTGAAAGGTGGCAATGTAGGTGAATAATTGGAAGGCATGGTCAAAGCAGGGCCATAGATCATTTTTTACCTGGGGACAGGGTTCAACTTTGGGCACCCAGAGTGGAACAATAAGGCGGCGCACTGTGCGTGTTGTGGTGAACTATAGGTTTAGCAAAACCGTACCAACAGTAAGGTGGGAGTTTAAAACTTGAGCCTACAAAGTAACTTATTCCACAGTTCTTTTACCCAAAGGCCTCATGCACACACACATGTATACTCTGGTACATGTGTAAACCTGTGTATGGAAGTACTCTCCCCACTGTGGACAGGATGGTGTGGCAAGAAGACACAGGAGAATTCCCAAGCTATGCAACTTAAGTTGCACAAATCTTAATGGCTAAACACAATTATGCAACTTTGGCATGTGTTAGCAAAACCATACATATCATCACAACTACTTTGTGCATCCAGGTGGATTTTAAGGACAAATTGGGTTTTCATTTGGTTGTAAATGGTAATGGATATCTCATGATTTTTGTTTTATTACCAAAGGAAAACTGACCCAAAATAGTAACCTACCACCAAAGAACAACCCAACATAATTTCTCCTGCTCCTGACGATCGCAGTGATACCACATGTGACAGACCAACAGATGAATGTATATAATGAATAAGTGCGGCGCTCATGAGATAAGTGTAAATATACAAAATTCACAGAAAAATATATTCCGTATTTTCCGGCGTATAAGACGGCTTTTTAACCCTTGAAAATCTTCTCAAAAGTCGGGGGGTCATCTTATACGCCGGTATACGCCATGCTGACACTTGGTGTCAGGGTGGCACTTTTTAGGGGGGCGGCACGGTGAACTATAGGTTTAGCAAAACTGTACCAACAGTAAGGTGGGTGCGGTCCTCACCAGTGATTGGCTGCCAGAACTGTAGCTCAGGAAAGGCACACAGGCGGCCAATCACTGGTGAGGAGGCAGAGCCGAGTGGCCCCGCGAAAATCGAGTGAGGGAGCGGCGGCCGGTAAGTGTGCCATGCAGAGGTGCTGCTGCAACCACATATGCTGGCTGCAGCAGCACCATACTGGAACAGGGGTCAGCAGGTGTCATTGGTGTCAGTGGGAGGAATAGTGCCCCATCATTGGTGTCCTGATACTAATGATGGTGCATTATTCCCCCACTGACACCAACAATGACACCCTCCCCCCTGACGCCAACGATGGGGCACTATTGCTCCCCCCACTGACCGACCAACGATGGGGCACTATTGCTCCCCCCCTGACGCCAACGATCCTATTGCCCCCCCCTGACGCCAACGATGGGGCACTATTCCTCCCCCCCTGACGCCAACGATGGAACACTATTGCTCCTTCCTGACCCACTGGGGCACACTCCCCCCCAATGATGGGGTATTGCCCCCCCCTATTTGCCCCCCCTGACAACGATGGGGCAATGTCCCCCCCTGACGCCAACGGGGGCCTATTGCTCCCCCCCTGACGCCAACGTTGGGCACTATTGCTCCCCCCTGACTATTCCCCCCTGACGCCAATGACGGGGCACTATTCCTCCCCCTGACGCCACCAATGACGGGACACAACTATTCCTTCCCCCACTGACACCAATGATGGGGTCCTATTCCTCCCACTGACACCAATTCCTATTCCCTCCCACTGACACCAAACACTATTCCTCCCACTGATGGGGGCAACTATTCCCCCCACTGATGCTAATGATGGGCCACTATTCCTCCCACTGATACCTCCCCACTGAATGATGGGGCCACTATTCCTCCCACTGATACCAATGATGGGGGGACTATTCCTCCCCACTGATACCAATGATGGGCACTATTCCTCCCACTGATACCAATGATGGGCCACTATTCCTCCCACTGATACCAATGATGGGGCACTATTCCTCCCACTGATACCAATGATGGGCCACTATTCCTCCCACTGATCCTCCCACTGATACCAATGATGGGCCACTATTCCTCCCACTGATACCAATGATGGGCCACTATTCCTGCCTGTCAGGAATCAGGGAGTGACCAGAAAGGTGTGGACTGACACAGGGAAACGCAGGTCTCAGGTACAATACAATACAAGGTTATTATTAGCCACCAGATATATATATATATATATATATATATATATATATATATATATATATGACGCACAGTGAACAAACTAACCTTCCACTGATCTTAGGAGGTGCAGGAACACAGGCGTAGTCAGGGCTGGAGAGGTGGAATGGTCAGGCCGGCCGTAGGGTTCTGTAACGACTGCCTGGTGGTACCTCTAGCGGTCCTCAGGGCAGGATTCCCCAGGGCGCGGAGTCTAAGCCCCAGTCTGCCTTTTCACCAGAGCCCCTGGTGGTGGGGATGGACTTGGCGCAGGACTGAGACCAGGTCGCGGCCCTGAGTACACCTGCTAGTGGTAGGGGGGGAATCCGCCAGAGGTATGTGCAGGTACGGCTGGATCCGTGCAGGATGGATGGATGGCAGAGTAGTTAGCGTGGTCAGACAAGCCGGGTCGGTAGCAGTGGAGGCAGATCAGTACAGAGCAGCAGGCAAAGAGCAAACGGGTCACAAGCCAAGGTACAGCAACAGGAGGTCAAACAGCATAGGAGTAGGCAGAAGAATAGTCAGGGATGAGCCAGTAGTCAGAACAGGAGACGGTCAACAGAGATCAGGATCAAGCCGGGTCAGCAACGAAGCAGGAACACAGGGTACAGGTACAGAGGCTCATGGGGAAAACATACACCAAGGCCCAGAGCACAGACCTGGTCATGCCTTATATACACCTTTCTGTAATCAGCCCCAGGTTTGGCTGATTGTGAGCTTCTGGCTGCTAAGGGTACCCGCTGGTCAGCTCTGGTACTGCAGCCCACACGGCAGGTGAGTTCCACCACCAGTGCTGAGAGCACCCGCTGGTCAGCTCTGGTACTGCAGCCCACACGGCAGGCGAGCGTCCCACCACCAGTGCTGAGTCCATTCCTGACACTGCCACTGACACAATGATGGGGCGCTATTCCTCCCACTGACACCAATGATGGGGCGCTATTCCTCCCACTGACACCAATGATGGGGCACTATTCCTCCCACTGATACCAATGATGGGCCACTATTCCTCCCACTGATACCAATGATGGGCCACTATTCCTGCCACTGATACCAATGATGGGGCACGATTCCTCCCACTGACACCAATGATGGGGCGCTGTTATTCCCACTGACACCAATGATGGGGCGCTATTCCTCCCACTGACACCAATGATGGGGCACAATTCGTCGCTCTGACACCAATGATGGGGCACAATTCCTCCCACTGACACCAATGATGGGGCACTATTCCTCCCACTGACACCAATGATGGGGCACTATTCCTCCCACTGACACCAATGATGGGGCACGATTCTTCCCACTGACACCAATGATGGGGCACTATTTTCTCCCACTGACACCAATGATGGGGTACTATTCCTCCCACTGACACTAATGATGGGGGACACTATTCTTCACACTGACACTAATGATGGGGCACCATCATTCCCACTGTCAGTTGGAGGAACTATTCCTCCCATGACATTGGTTCAGTGGGAGGAATATGTGCCCCATCATTGGTGTCAGTTGGAGGAATAGTGTCCCATCATTGGTGTCAGTGGGAGGAATAGTGCCCCATCATTGGTGTCAGTGGGAGGAATAGTGTCCCATCATTGGTGTCAGTGGGAGGAATAGTGCCCCATCATTGGTGTCAGTGGGAGGAATAGCACCCCATATGATATGTGTGTTTATATTTTATCCTATTTTTTAGGACTCATACACACTATGTGCGGTGACTGGCATTGGTCTGCACTGGATAAATGCCACTCACTGTAAAAGCATCTTTTTTACACCACTATGCTGGTGTTATGTCAGTTGCACTGTGGAAAAGTGCAGACATGCTGCAGTGTTCTGTATCTGCACACAGTGGATGGGTGCAGTGGATTTCATCACACTGCAGTGCACTACTGTGCCGCTGTACTGAGATTCGCATGAAGTGTCACTGTCACGTACCTGTTGGAGATCGAGCTGGAGAGGGGGCTTCTCTTCAACCTCTTGTCCTACACCCCTGGTAGTGATGACAGGGAGTGTGGGGACACAGAGTGGCATGAGGGCCAGTAGCAGGTAGTGCCAGCTGGAGTTTACAGGAAGCAGATGACCGCAGATCACCAGGCAGGAACCAAGAACTGGAACACAGTGACACTTGCTTGGCAGACAGGAGTGTAGCCAGGACACAACCCAAAAGGTCATCAACAGCCGGGCAGCTAGGTACAGGAACATCAGGGAGAGACGGAGTCAGGATACAAGCTGGAATCAGTACACAGCCGGGCAGTGAGGTACAGGAACACAAGACAGGAGTAGAGTCAGAATACAAGCTGAGGTCACAGTAGGCAGGAAGAAATCAAAGGACAGGTCAATGGCAAGTCGAGTCATGCACAGGTAAGCAGGTATAGCAGGTCAAAGCTCAGGTAAAGCAGGAACTAGATGAAGACCATTCAGCAATCCATCCATGTCAGAATGCAGCTTAAAAAGGCTGTTTGGCACCAGTGCTCTTATGTGTGCACATGCACATTATGATTTTCTGCACCTGCTAATATGTTTGTGTGAGTGTGACAATGCTTGCTTTGTATTGAGCTCTTACAAAAAATTATGAGCATGCACATAAGTATTAGCATGTGCCAGCCTTCCAACATGTACTGAGTTTTTCTTACAGTCACTATATGACACTTCAAATAAAGTACAAAAAAAGTAAACAGTGAGATGCACTGAAATACTCATTGAGCCGGAGCTCACACTGACAGCTGTCCACATGGTAACACACTATATTCTACAATGCAGACTAGTGTAAATGAGCCCTAAAGTTTTTTTTTTATATTAACAATTTTTATTGATTTTCACATATATATATGTATACAAAAAACATCACAGGAGAAAAAAGGAGCACATCAATGGTGAGATCTGCATGGTTACTAACATAAGAATGTCATATAGTTATAATGGGGTGGCTGTCAGAACTATACATCTGCAGAAAGGTGGAAGGAAGAGAAATTGTCCCATGGGTGCCAAACTGCCTCAAACAAAGCAAGCGAACAGGCTTGCACAGCCGTCAGGTACTCCATCTGTCGTACATCAGCAATAGTTTTAAACAGCGATGACATTGAAGGAGGTAGAGAAGATAGCCAACACATCGAAATGCTTCTTCTGGCCGCAGTCAGAATATGTGTGGAGAGTTTCCTGGCCATTCTGGGAAGACCTGGGAATGGCAGGCTCAGTAAAAAATACAGAGGCTCAAAAGGGAGAGAGGTCTGCAATAACAATTGTAAAAAAAAGACAAAACCTCTTCCCAAAAAGGGACAATGGATCCACAAGTCCAAAAAATATGGAAGAGGGAGCCAATATCTTTCCCACAACGCCAGCAAGCGGAAAAAACATTTGGATTAAAGGCATGGACAACCTTGGGAGTTTTATACCATAACATTAAAATTTTATATGTGTTTTCTTTATAACCAACACAGAAAGAAGATTTAGATGTGTTGTTCCAAATTTTCTTCCATTGTGTAAGGTCAATGTCACATTGCAGAAACTGGGACCACTTGCGCATGTAATGATGAGTGTCGTTAGCGAGGGGAGCAGCATCCATAAGAAGTTTATATATATTAGAAACTATACCCTTTTGATGCGGACCTTGTATACAGAGACGCTCAAAGGGGGTAGGTTTCCCATGAGTCAACGTGGAAGATATAGTGGAGAAAAAGTGACGTATCTGGAGATAAATATAAAAATGGTGAGAAGGCAGATCTTTTTTTCTGGAGATATGAGAATGGCTGCAGCTTCCGGGTAACAGGATGTGTTACGTGACGTAGTTGGAAAAGCCTGGTCGTGTTTCAAGGGGACAATCGGGGTACCGCCGCCAAACTGTCTGGAAGATATGGGTTAAAAAGGATATTAATCAGTGGGGAGCAATCGGAGGCCAATGCGAACCTGGTTTTACATTTCTGCCATATACTCATGGAGAATTGCATGGGGCCAAGGAACAAACGACGAAGAGGGGTAAGGTCCACCTCCGAAGACGACCAGAGGAGAAAGCAGGGATGAGTCGGGGTCAATTTTAAGGACTCTATCTTAGTCCATAGATTGGGAGGGAATAGAGTGGACCATGAAGTACGGAAGCGAAGGTGAGTGGCGTAATAATAGGTCACGATATCCGGTGCACCCAGGCCTCCTCTAGAACGCAGGGAAAGTAGTACACTACGTGCAATTCTGTGTCGCTTATTATGTCAAATGAAATGTAGTAGGGATTTCTGCAGGGAGTGTAGCTTGGACAGAGGGACAGGGACAGGGATTGTCACAAATAGGTACAAAGGTTTGGGCAATACAGTCATCTTTATGACGTTGATACATCCCAAGAATGACAAGGGTAGAGTATCCCAAGATTTCAGGGAGCGGGAAATAGCTACAAATAGGTGAGGGAAGTTGGCGTCATATATTGAACTATAGGAGTAAGTAAGGTTAGTGCCGAGATATTTTAGAGAGCGGGCGCACCATCGATACAGGAATTATTCTTGAAGGGACGAGAGTACAGCTGGAGGGATATGAAGTGGGAGAGCTTCAGTCTTAGAGGTGTTAACCTTGTAACCACAGAGAGTCCCGAAATGTCGTAAAAGTTTATGCAGTGCTGGGAGGGAAATTTGGGGGTTCAAGAGTGTAAGGAGGATATGATCCGCAAAAAGGGACAATTTATATTCGCGGCCATGAGATGTTATACCTTGTATGTCAGGATGGGACCGGATTGCAATAGCCAGTGGTTCCAAACAAAGAATAAACAATAGAGGGGAGAGAGGACATCCCTGTCGGGTACCATTCGACATCTGAAAAGGGGGTGAAAGAAAGGAGGACAGTCTGACCTGCGAGGAAGGATGAGAATAGAGAGCTTTCAAAGCTGCCACAAAAGGGCCAAGGAAGCCAAACTTCTCCAAAACCATAAACATATAAGGCCAACTGAGACAATCAAATGCTTTTTGGGCATCCAAGCTCAATAAAATGGTGGGAATGGAAGACCGGTTAACCAAATCAACCAGATCAATAGATCTCCTGGTGTTGTCCACTGCATGTCTAGCAGGGACAAAGCCTACTTGGTCTCTGTTTATGAGTTTGGAGATGAGTCTGGACAGCCAGTTGGCTAGGATCTTAGTAAAAATCTTGTAATCAGAGTTCAGTAGAGCAATAGGATGGTAGATATCCAAGACAGAATGATCCTTGTCAGGTTTGGGAATTACAGAGATGTATGCACGGGAGAAGTCCACTTGTGGAGTAATACTTCTAAAAAGGTCATGATAGAAAGAAAGAAGATGGGGAGCCAGGGTAGCAATGAAAGTCTTATAGTAAAGAATAGGGAAGACCATATGGGCCTGGTGTTTTGCGGAGGGGAGATGTTTGACTGTATTAAATAATTCTTCGGACGAGATGTCAGCGTTGAGGGCCACAATATCAGAAGACGAAAGCTTAGGCAACAGTAAAGGGTCAAAAAAACCTATCAAAAAAGGTCTCCGTGAGAGGGGGATGGAGGTCTGGGGTCAAACAGTTGTAAAGGGATTCATAATATGAGCCAAAAAGGGAGACCATTACATGAGGATCATAAGTAGGGCTCCCATTCGGCTGGATAAGATGGTCTGGCACCGTAGAGGGGGATTGGGCTTTAAGTCTGTTAACGAGCATTTGATGAGGGTTGTTAGAAAATTCATAGAGTTTCTGCCTGACCCAGAGGAGAGATTTTGTGGACTTACAGGCATCAAGAGCCTTGATTTGGTCGCGTAGAGAAGTCACTCTATACAGCCCAAAAATAGATGGTTTTGCAAGGAGTTTACATTCAGCCAGGGTTAACTGGCAGACTAGGGCAATCCTGGCACACTCCGGGGATTTCTTCAGGTGAGAGCCCATGGAGATACAAAGACCACGAAAACCGCCTTATCGGCTTCCTATACGATTGAGGTAGACGCTACAGAGCCTACATTAAGTTGAAAGTATAGATCAAGTCCTTGAGAAAGCTCAGTACGTAGATGTTCCGTGGCTCATTAAGGAGCCAATGGCCTGTTTTTGGGATAACATTAAGGAATAACATGTTCAAGGTCAAAGAAGCGTGATCAGACCAGGTGATGGGATTGATATCAGAAGAGACTAGGAGAGGGAGAAGAGGAGCTGTAATGAAAAAGTGATCAAGGCGGGAATAACTGCGGTGAGGTGTAGAGTAAAAAGTAAATTGTTTGTGGGTAGGATGTCGAATCCACCAGGCGTCAAAGAGAAGATGCTCCCTGATCAATTTGCGGAAGGATTTTGAGGA